TTTAAGAAAGATGAGAGATATGACTGATTTTTTGGTGAGAAGTAGGTATTTAAGGATGAGAAGATGTCGGATAATTATTGAGTGATGAGGCTTGGACAATGACTGGTATAGAGATGTGGTTGATCGGGATAAAGGATGGAAAGGACCCGAAGTGATCGGGAAGAAGAAGACACATAGTTAGCTAATAGGAAGCTTGAAAGTTTGGAGCCCAAGATGTTTTGAAGGCCAAGACGTTTTGAAGTCGATAATCGGAAGATCGGTGTCAAGTCGATCTAGCATTTTGAAAGCTTAGCCGCGAGCTAGCAAGTTGGAAATTGGGTGGTCAGAACTGAGCCGATCTCAAGTGCTCTTAAATGCAGAAAATTAATTTTGTAGGGAGTTTTGTGAGGTTATGTAAAATTAATTATAAGTTTAATTAGGTTTTATTAGAATGTCTCTTGGTGTGTCTCTGATAGTTTTGGGAATTAGAAAGTTTCTTGGACGCTTAGAAAATGATGTTATTGATGAGCATAAATGTGGGACTACTTGGCTTTTGTAAGGAGTTTTTTGTTGTTTCTAGAGAGTTCCTAGGAGTATATAAATACACAAATGTAATCTTGTTTTCAGGATGACAAAGAATTTACTAAAGTGAAGTTTCTAAATTTCCTGTGAAATTCTTTGTTATCAAAGAGTTAAAGTGGATTTCAAATGTCATGACAATTACATTACCATTATACAAGAATTAAAAAATTATCTGAAGTGTCAAACACTTTAATCTGAATCAATCGTAAAATCACAAAAACCAACAAAAGAAGCATAAAAACAAATAGCTAGGACAATACTACATATGGCAAGAAATGAAAGTGTGATGTTGGTAGCTAGTGAGAGAGGATTGGATTAATTTTTCAGTAACTTGAAACTTCTTCATCCACACCTTCATCCCCAACTTCCTCATAGTCCTTTTCAAGGGCAGCAAGATCCTCTCTAGCTTCTGAGAACTCACCTTCTTCCATGCCTTCACTCACATACCAATGCACAAAGGCCCTTTTGGCAAACATGAGGTCAAATTTGTGGTCAATGCGAGAGAAAACCTCAACGACAGCTGTGTTGTTGCTTATCATACAAACTGCTCTCTTCACCTCTGCAAGGTCACCTTCTGGTACAACTGTTGGAGCTTGGTAGTTTATACCACACTTGAAACCAGTAGGGCACCTAATATTGGTCATCGTAGCCATACATTCAGATTTTGTGAAAAAGAAATAGAAGTGCACATATTAAAGTAACATCTAGGTCAAAATATTGAGTTTATTTTCACAAGGAAACTTTATCTAAGATTTTAACTTAATGTAAACAAAAAATTATAAAATTGTCAAATTGCTGCTTTAAATTTAAGTGCAAATTATACTTCATTTCTCTTCTCTCATACAAACCTTCTCCTACTCGTCCACCTCTTTCTAAAAAATTATTTTATGCACAAACTTCACTACTAAACAACAAATCATCTTTCCTATTCTTCCTAAAAAACCAATAGTGATATTAGAACTACATTCGATCATCTATTGGATGTAGATACAATCCAACAAACATAAAAATGTCTTACTATATTTCATACCAATTCTAACCAATGCCTAATGTCAATCCTTCTTCATCTATTCCTCTACCTATCTTCATGGGAGAAAATTATGACTTTTGGAAAATGAAGACATTTTTTTGCTTTCAAGATCTGTTGAAGATTGTAGAAGATGACTTCATTACTCCTATATATGTTTATAGATTAACAACGACTTTGAAGAAGGAGTTGAAAGAGAACAAACAAAAAGACTCAAGGGTAATATACTTTCTACAACAAGTTATGGTTGATACAATTTTTTCAAGAATAATGGATATCACAAGTGCCAAAGAGGCATGGAGCACAGCAAAGGAGGAGTTTAAAAAAAGTGTAAAGGTATGTACCATTAAACTTCAAACTCTAAGACGTGAGTTTAAGTTATTGAGTATGAAGGAGTTTGAAACCATTAAGGATTATTATTCTAGGATCAAAGAGATAGTTAGCCAAATGAACATGTGGGGAAAATATTCTGGACAAGAAAATATTTGAGAAAATTCTAATTTCTATTTCCCACAAATATGGTGTAATTGACATAATAATTGAACAAATTAAGGATCTGTCTACCTTATCGGTGATAGAACTACTAGGGTAAGTATATGAGCAAAAATTGAAAAGGTGTATGAAGACTCTGTCGAAAATTCCTTTCAATCAAAGCTCAAATTATAGTTCAAAATAAAAAAATTGGACACAAGATAAAATTGAAGAAATTTTCTGAAATAAAGAAAATGCTAGAAATTTCTCCAAGTCTAGTCAATATTTTCCTCCTTATGACATTTGTAAAAAGTCAAGTTATCTGGAGAAAAATTGTTAGCATTGTGGAAAATCTCAATGCAAACATTGCAAGAAGTTAGGACATGTGGAGAAAAGTTGTCGCATAAAAAACAAGAATCAAGCAATTTTTTTTGAAGAACATGACCTTCAACAACATCTTTTCTATGCTACCCAAGACTCCAATGATGAAACAAGTGGAAGTTAGTATTTGGAAAGTAGATGCAGTAATCACATGGCCAAAGATGAAAACATCTTCAATGATATTGAGAACTCTATCAAAGTGGAAGTATGATTGAGAAATGACACACTAGTAGAGTCAAAAGGAAGAGGCATTATTGTGGTGGAGACTAAGAAAGGTATGAGACTTATTAAAGATGTCTTACTGTTCTCAATCTTAAAGAAAATCTCTTGAGCATTGGACAAATGATGGAGAAAGGGTATGCTCTTCACTTTGAAGGAGATACATGCAAAATCTATGACAATAAAAGACGAGAGATTAGAGAAGTAAAAATGGAGAAAAGAAATAGAAGCGTTCATATAAGCTTCAAATATACTATTGATATTGCCATAAGAAATAGAAGTTCAAGTTGATGATTCATGGTTTTTGCATAGAAGGTTTGGACACTTCAACACTCAAGCTTTAAATATTTTATATCAAATGAATATGATGAGAGGTCTCCCATACCCGAAAGAGAATAATGAAGCTTGTGAAGGATGTCTTCTCGGGAAACAACATAGATTATCATTTTCAACCAAAAAAGCATGGAGAACAAAAGATCTACTAGAATTAATCCATATAGACATTTGTGGACCAATAAGGACATCATCACTAAACAATAATAGGTACTTTATTCTTTTCATCGATGACTTTTTGAGAATGGCCTGGGTTTACTTCATAAAAGAAAAAAGTCAAGAAGTTTAAAGCTCCCGTTGAGAAACAAAGTGGAAGACATATTAAAGTACTAAGAAGTGATCAAGATAAAAAATATAACTCACATGAGTTTGATAAGTTATGTGAAGATGAAGGAATAAAAAGATAAATTACAGTTCCATATACATCACAACAAAATGCGGGATCATACAGGAAGAATCGCACAATGATGAAGATGATAAGATCAATGTTGAAGGAGAAAGACTTACTGAATACATTTCTGGCAAAAGTAGGCTACACTATCGTGTATATACTCAAAAGATGCCCAACTAAGGCAATTCAAGACAAGACTCTAATTGAAACTTGGAGAGGGAAAAACCATAAGCTAAATACTTAGGAGTTTTTGGATCTATTTGCTACATACATGTGCCAGATCAGAAAAGGCAGAAATTAGAAGACAAGACTATATGGGAAATCTTCTTGGGATATATCACACAAACAAAAGCCTATAGAGTTTAAAACTTGCAGACAAATAAGCTCACCATCATTAGAGATTGAAGTTGATGAAAATGCTTTTTAGAATTGGGAAGAAGGAAGAATTATGAAAAACATCTTCTTTACAGTACAACAATTTCAAGAAGGAATTCAAGAAGGGGCAGAAGATCTAGGTACACTTCCTTTATTTGCACAACAACAAGATTTTTCACCAGAGTTACTCCTAGAAGAGTAAAATCCTTCGTGGATATATATAAAATATGCAACATGACAAATGCTTGAGCCTGAATGCTATGACGAGGCTACAAAGCAAAATGTCTAGATCAAGGCAATGGAGGAAGAAATTAAAATGATTGAAAAAAATAATACTTGTGAATGAGTAAACTACCCACATGCAAAAGATGTAATTGAAGTTAAATGGGTCTACAAAACAAAGTTCAATCCTAACGACACCATACAAAAGTACAAGACTAGGATGGTAGCAGTGGGTTATTCACAACAATCTGGAAACAAGACATATTTATGGAGATACTATCAAGCAACAAGTTCTTGGAGTTACCAGAATTTGCATCAAAGAGGAGTGTTGAAAGGTGATGCAAATTCTAGAAAAATCTAGAAAATAAAATCCTAGCTACTACTAGAACTATGAACTTCATATTAGTAATATCTAGAAATATTATAACATTCTAGAAATGTTTGAAAGTAGAAAATAAATAATTCTAAAGTTAAGATAATCTAGAATATTGTAGACTAATATGAAGGTGGTAGATGAAGCCTATAAATAGGCAATACCACCTGTATAACTTGTGTGAAAAACTAATCCAAACTCCTTCATATTTCGAAATACTTCCAAGGTCAATTACTATCTTCTCTCATATAAACCTTCTCTTACTTGTTCACCTCTTTCTAAAAACTATTTTCTACATAAAGTTCACTACTAAACAATAAACCATCCTTTCTATTCTTCCTAAAATACTAACACAACCTTTTGATATTAAATAATTGTTCAACGTAATTTTAAATTTATGTATTATTTAAGTGTAGTTTTGATAATTCAAGTCATAATTTCCTGGTAATGAGAATCACTTTGCATGTTAATCTATTTAAAATCAAAGAAAATACTCAAATATGGAAGGAACTAGAAAATCTTACTATGGAAAGTCCACAATACTGATCAAAATGAGATAGTTAGGACCACAGTAGAAAGAACATAACAGGCAAAGATAATGCAATCCAAGTTATATCATAGTATGGTGTTCTTCCAAGAAAGTGTACTTACCAGTCTACAAACTGAACTTGTCTCTTTGTCTTGATATTCGAGACAGCAAGGTTTACATCTTTTGGCACAACATCCCCACGATACATTAGGCAGCATGCCATGTACTTACCATTTCTTGGATCACACTTGACCATCATGCTTGATGGCTCAAACACAGCTCTGGTGATCTCAGGCACTGATAGCTGCTCATGGAAGGCCTTCGCCGAAGATATAACTGGGGCATAAGATGAGAGCATGAAATGGATGCGTGGATAAGGTACAAGGTTGGTCTGGAACTCTGAAATGTCCACATTGATTGCACCGTCAAATCTCAAGGAAGTGGTCAAGGAAGAGATGATTTGGGATATCAAGCGGTTCAAGTTGGTGTAAGTTGGCCTCTCTATATCTAGTGATCTTCTGCATATGTCATATATTGCTTCATTGTCCAAGAGCACAACTACATCACTGTGCTCAATAAGAGAGTGATTGGAAAGAACAGTGTTGTAAGGTTCAACAACTGCAGTAGATACCTGCGTGTTAATAACTAGTTACACCATGCCATTACAGTAAGGGCATTCTACTTGGACTATTTGCAAAGGTAATACAGAAATGTGAAAAATTATTAAGAAAAGCTTCACCAAGCATGAATTATAATATCCTGAAGTGTGGAGAGCAACATATGTGAAAGCATCTCTTGTAATTTTATCATATATCTTGGAGAATGCAACAAAATCATTTTTTATTGAGAGTGCACTCTCTTTCCAACAAACTCCACCAATAGTCTCAGCCAATCCCAAGCTCAGATAAAGAAGAGGGATTAATATGCTCCATTAGAGATTTTATGATGGAGGAAGATTGGTGTTATAAGGGTCTGTTTGGACAAGCTCCTTCATTAGCTCTTAAAAGAGTTTATGGAGACATCCAAACAGCATAAGTTATCACATTTAATATAATTTCTCATTAATATAATATAAGCATGCTCCAATAAATTTTATTTATGCACGAGGATTGGAATAGAAGGTCACATAACATGTTGTAAAGTCAAAAAATGTTTCATGATCCACCACAAACTGTTTACTACACCTGAGGAGAAGGATAAATGATGAACCCAAGTTTTGACTTCTTTCCATAATCTGCAGACAACCGTTCCAAAAGCAATGATCCTAAGCCAGAACCAGTGCCACCACCAACAGCATTGAAAACCAAGAATCCTTGCAAGCCAGTGCAATTGTCAGCTAATTTTCTGATACGGTCAAGGCAAAGCTCCTCAATATCTTTTCCAACTGCAGCATAGACACCAAATCAGTGACACTGCCTGATAGATCATACCACTTTTTGGACCAAATAAGGAAGTGACTGACCTGTGTAATGTCCCCTTGCAAAGTTATTAGCAGCATCTTCCTTGCCAGACATTAATTGCTCAGGGTGGAAGAGTTGTTTGTAAGGACCACATCTTACTTCATCTATTACACTAGGCTCCAGATCAACAAATAAGGCCCTAGGGACATATTGGCCAGTTCCAATTTCGCTGAAGAAGGTGTTGAATGCATCATGTGCTTCAGTTGAGCCATCACTGCAAATAGATGTATATGAATCAGTATTATTAGTTGTGACAAAAAGTAAAGGAAGAAACAATTAGATTGGATCTTTTAAAAACCAAGTTCTGACTTCTAGTTAATGAGATTAAAGCATAATAGGCTGTAAAAATACCAAAATATTGCAAATTTGAGTTCCAAATTGTTTCATTCTTTAGATTCAAAGAAAAACTACATGTAAATGAAGCAAAAATCGTTCATTTAGAAGAATAACTATAGAAAGTAAAAGGGATGTAGACCTAGCTTATAAGTTAGTATTTGGAAGCTATATGTGTATGTCTAAGCGGAGTGCTAGCCACTTACTGTAATCCATATCTTAGCCAAAGAGGAAAATAAGAAATGAAAGTATAAGCAGATAATAATAAAAGTCTAACAGAGAGGGAAGGTATATATGCTATACAACAAGGAAAATCTTTTCCGAAAATGGAAATCTTTGAATACATTGAGGATTTCTATTTTCATTTGTTTTTCTGGCTTTGGAAGCTGAATTTTATATCTTCTTCAGGTTTCTAGAAACAAGGCACACATAGCTAACCTTTGTTTTTAACCTACATTTTCACCAAAATGTCATTGGTTCAAATAGAATTGAACTCAGGTCTAAATTATAACAGAATCTCTTGGATGAAACAAATGTGAATGAAAAAGAAGAAATTATTAAAAGGGTCATAAATAAATGGATAGTCTACATAAGTGTCACATTAACATAAAAAGTCGCTTTGTTTTCTTAACCAAAATATCAATGCTATATTATGTCTAACTTCCTGCCTTTCTGTTTTTTTTTTTTTTTTTTTTTTTTTTTTCGTTTAATCATTAAAGAAGAGAACTCAAGAAATTAGAAACATAAGTTTTTTCAAAATAGATTTTTAATGCCATTTACACTCAGAATTAAGAAAATATTCAAAATCTACTGAATGGTTTAATTAATTCAGGAGGAAAAGCACATCGTGTACCCCATAATGCAATAAAGTTTCGGATATACTACTAAATAAAAATGATCATTGAAAGACAAAATGTGCTGCATAAGATACATAAACCAGAAAACGTAGTAATCTAGAATAAACACGAAATGTGCAATGTCATGACACCTTAATTTAAAGCATAACCTATAAAATGGCCCCATATGAAAGCATAAAATTTATGATCTATACGAAAAAAAAAATTATCACCACTATGATGATCCAAAATAAAACCCAAGCATGCAACACATGACGTTGATCATAATTTGAATAGCAAGTTTTTTATCATAAGAGCATCTCCAGATATAGAAATTTCTATGTACCCAATATAATAATGCAGCTAGAAAATCAGAAGTGACCTAAATTGAATCATGGTCTTAGATTAATTTTAGAGAAATTGCTACATTATATTTCAAAATTGATTGTTCGAAAACAGCTCAAGCATCCACATAAACTATGATTATTCTAACCAAAATTGAAAAAAAAAAAGAAATACAAGACCTGGGCATTGTTCCATCAGGTTGAATGCCATGTTCAAGGCAATAAAGCTCCCAGCACGAATTACCAACCTGAATTCCAGCTTGTCCAATATGAATGCTTATTATTTCTCTCATATTTTAAGATTCTCTTTCTTATGATTGTGTTTAACAAAATAAAATACTAATGAAAAAGAATAATCACAATTTTCAAAGGAATAAAACTAATAATTACAAGTAGGAGGGGAATGAAAAATAGAGAATCAAAGAAGAAGAACAACAAAAAGAAGGAGAAAATCTTATTGTATTCCTTCCTCCCTTAACGTACATGTAATTAGTGCATGAAGTTCCAATCAAATGCTATACGCACTGAGTTTTACAGATGATTAAATCCTCATATTAATGAACGGTTTTGATTAATATTAATTGGGAACCAGTCATTTGGCACCAACTGGTTGAACGGGTTGCATTTTATTTTTATTCTAAATTATATTAAAATTTATTTTAATTTTTTAACACAGTTTTCATTGATTAATATTTATATGTTGGTCACACTAATTTAAGAACGAGGCCTCTCAAAAGGACAACCAGACTTGTATATTTAATGAGATTCAGATGAGTTTCATAAACGTCAAATAGAATATTCGAAAGTGAGTTATATATATATATATATATATATATATATATATATTTGATTTATGATGATAAAATTTTAAAGAGTGACACTTATTATAAAAGTACTAGATAATTGAATGAGATATCATAAAATTATATGCTAAATTATGATTGAATACTAATATAAAAAATTGTTAGAATCGTGCAACATATTGCGTTTACGAGACAAAAATCAAGAGAGGGTGAATTAGTTTCTTAAACAAAAATTAGGGTTTTAAAAATTTTTCCCAAATTTCACCGATTAAAATGTTGTGTAAAGTAAATAGATAAGGAATAGAAAATTACACAGTTGATTTATACTAGTTCGGATCAAAAGACCCTACGTCCAGTTGCTAATCACTCAAACAGAGGATTAATGCTGTCATTATAATCACAGTTTTCAAACAGATTACAAATTGAAAAGATAAGGTAAAGAAAACATCTCTCTTGAGTCACACAAGAGATTAACACCTCCTTTGAATTCACAAAGGATGAAGAACAACTTTTCATAGAGACAACACAACACACAATCGACCAAGAAACTCACTCAGTGATTCTTATCGCTTCTAGCCCACACTAGTTTTTCAAAAGCCCCTTTTTCTTCCCTACAACAAGTTCTCTAGTAGTCACAACTCTTAACTTTTGTATGAAAAAAGTTTGTTCCATTTACAGAGAGCCTTAGAGAACCTTAAGTAGAGAGAATAGGGTTTGGGAATTGGGAATTTTCATAAACAGATGAATTTGAAATAAGGTTTTCGAAACTCTTGGTCCAATTTTGAATTTCAAAACACATAACAGATGCAAATAATCGATTATCTTGAGTGATAATCGATTATTCCAAAGCCATATTCGCAGAGGAACAAAACTGGGTCAGGATAATCGATTATCTGGCCAAATAATCGATTATCAGCCTGTGATAATCGATTATCCTGAGTGATAATCGATTATCACAGAGAGGATTTCCTGAAAATAGTTTTCTTGCTATAATAATCAATTATCAAGGCTGATAATCGATTATCACACTGTAATTTTGATAAAAATGAGTTTTTAGAGCTTTTAAAGGATGATCTATGTGCTGGCTATCTTGGACTCTAATATTACAGACTCAAAAACATAAAAATAGAGTTATTATATAAGATTACAAGTCTTCAAATTTCTAAGTCCTTTATTCTTGAATCATCATCAAAATCTACAAGCTTCATATCCTTGTATGTTCAACAATCTCCCCCTTTTTGATGATGATCAAAATTTCCTTTAAATCCCTTTGTAATATCCTGTTTTATCTGTCACAGCTAACACAAACATTAAACATAACAGATAACATTTAAAATTAATAAACATAAGAGGCTTTAAATAATTTCTCCCCCTATTTTGATTATGATAAAAAATGAAAGCTCCCCCTCAATAAGTGCATAATATAGAAAATAGCTCCCCCTCAATCAAAGCATAAATACCATTTTTATTCCATAAATCAAATTAATTACAAACAAGAAATATGTTGAAGAGATTAAAACTCTTCACTTTCATCACTGTTAAATTGGGCATCAAATCTGTCTTCTAAATTACAAACTCTATCATCTACATCCGAAATACGTTTAAATAATTTCCTGATGCCATTCTTGAGAGATAGTGAAAAACTCTTGCATTCTTTGATTCATATCAAACAACATATCTTCCATAGACGGACGGGATGTAGGATGAGCAGATGACGTCCCAACAATATGAATGTTTTCAGTAGGCATTTCAGCAACAGGCATGTCCTCATCATTAGAATCTTGAACCATGTTGGCCATGTGAGGCGCATCATCTTTATGAACGTAAATTCCGTTTATGTTCACCATCTGTAGCTAAGTAAGCGTGCCGTCTAACATTCTGTTTGAATTTAGGGTCTAGGCCCATTGTTCTCCTTCAACATTTACGCCCTTGTATTCAAGAATTCTGGATATTAGGAGAGCATATAGAATCTTGAATGTTGGGTGACGCTTCGCCTTGAGCATTGTTAAAGTAACTAGGCTTGGCCAATCAATGGGCTCATTATTCATGATGGCATGAATAATGCGAAGGTCAGAAGAACATTGGGCATGGTTGGTTGCCCAGGGACATAAAATCCAGACAAGAAGATGCAACAAAAGGCGTTCTTCTTTCTTTAAAGTCCCGACCAAAAGTTGGCGGCCAATTTCTATAGAGGGGTTGCGGAGAAAGGAGCGGTAAGCCATAATTCTATTAAAATCTTCTAAATTTGCAAGAACATTTGTAGCATCCTCCCTTAAAGGAAAGTGGGCAACATTTTCCCAGATGTCATCATCAATGATGATGGTCACACCCTTGACTCTAGAAGTGGCGATATGATCTCTATATTTAAAGCGTGAATAGAAGACCCTAACTAAATCTGGGTAGTAAGTACCTTGCATTTCTATGAATGGAAGGACACCTTGCTGCTCAAGGAGATTTGGGAAGTTGAAACCCCTATTGATGAATTGATCACCAATAATATATTTGGGAGTGATAATGCCCCTTTCTTTCCATAAAGTCAGGAATTCCTGTCTTCCTTCATCGTCGGAGATCCACCCTTCAATTGAATTGGGACGGGGATGAAAAGCAGGAGTGGATCTTCTCCTTGTTGGGATCTTACTACGAGATGATGAAGCCATTTAGATTAGAAAGAGAGGAAACAAGAGAGCTTGAACAAGTTTTTGAGAAGAATAAGGTTTTGAGGAGACAAGAGATCTTGAATGAATGTAAAATGCTTTGATTCAAGGTTTGGAGGTGTGTAGATGTGAATTGAAGTCTTCCTATATATAGAGAAACATCCTAACGGTCATAAACGACTAGTTGGAGGAGAATTCGAGCCAAAATAGCCGTTACAAACGGCTAGTGAACCTACAACGTCGCAGGATAATCGATTATCAGCCTCTGATAATCGATTATTTCTTCAAGTGCAGAGATAATCGATTATCAGGCTGGATAATCGATTATTCCAATGGCAAAATACTGGTTTTGGGAAATTTTGGGTCAGATAATCGATTATTACCTCAAATAATCGACTATTACAGAAAGATTTGACATATTTCACTTGTTTAAACTTCAATAATCAATCATTATCCAAGATAATCAATTATTTTAGAGAGATTAACAAATTTTCAATGTTATAAACACAGGATAATCGATTAATATTCCCTATATAATCAATTATTATAGTACAAAATGTAAATATTGATTAGTTAAGCAGAGTTTAAATTATCTCTAATATTCCTAAGTCTCTTCTAAGATCATAGAATCTATCTTTGGGAAGAGGTTTGGTAAAAATATTTGCTAATTGATGTTTTGTATCAACATATTCACTTTTACAATTTCCCTTACTAATATGATCTCTTAAGAAATGATGTTTAATCTCTATATGCTTAGTTCTAGAGTGCATTACTGTATTCTTAGTAAGATTGATTGCACTTGTATTATCACACATAAAAGGAATATCATCTAGAAAAATATTATAATCTTCTAGTTGTTGCTTCATCCATAGGATTTGTGCACAGTAATTACCAGCTGCAATATATTCAGCTTCAATTGTGGACAAAGTAACACATGCTTGTTTCTTAGAATGCCAAGATACTAAAGATGATCCTAACATATGACATGTTTCACTAGTACTCTTTCTATCAATCTTACATCCACCATAATCAGCATCAGAATATCCTATTAAACTAGGAGAAGCTTCAGATGGATACCATAAACCAATTCCTGTAGTTCCTTTTAAATATTTTAAAATTATTTTTACTGCAGTTAAATGAGATTCTTTTGGACATGCTTGAAATCTAGCACACACACAAACAGAATGCATAATATCAAGTCTACTTGCAGTTAAGTATAATAGTGAACCTATCATACCTCTATACATAGATTGATTAATTTTCAAACCTGATTCATCCTTATCTAAATAGCATGATGTTCCCATGGGTGTGTTAGCTTCATTTGAAGTGTTCATTCCAAATTTCTTGAGAATCTCTTTGCAGTATTTGGTTTGAGACACAAAAATGCCATCTTTAAGTTGTTTAATTTGAAGTCCAAGGAAGAATGTTAATTCTCCCATCATTGACATTTCAAATTCACCCTGCATTATCTTAGCAAATTCTTCACACAGAGAATTATCAGTTGAACTAATAGAATATGTTCCTTAACCTTCTTAATAAACAGGGTGGAATCAATTTTTTCCTCTAGAAAAGTCATTTGAAATTAGAAAACTACTTAATCTTTCATACCAAGACCTAGGAGTTTGTTTCAAACCATATAACGCTTTCTTCAATTTAAAAATATGATTGGGATATTTAAAATTTTCAAATCCAGGGCGTTGTTCCACATATACTTCCTCTTTGATAAACCCATTCAAAAATGCACTTTTAACATCCATTTGATAAAGTTTAAATTTCATCAATGAGGCATAAGCAAGAAGTAGGCGTATAACTTCTAACCTGGCAACAGGAGCATAA